CCCAGCAGCAGATATGGTCAAGCAATTGAGTTCCAGCACGTTGCCTGCTGTGTATTTAAGCACTCTTGATTCGGCCTATGCCACTGTGCAAGATGGGGATGAATTATTTGCTAAATTTATGGACACATTTCAGGACAGCGGTGAGAAATCATCTGCTTACCTTCAACGGCTTCAGGTTGTCCTGAACTCTGCCCTGAAAAGAGGAGGGGTTATAGAGTCTGAAGTTAATCGACATTTGTTGAATCAGTTCTGTCGTGGGTGCTGGGATAATTCCCTAATTGCTGAACTTCAGTTAAAGCAAAAGAAGATTTATCCGCCCACTTTTTCTGAGTTGCTGCTACTCTTGCGTACCGAAGAGGATCGGGAGGCAGCAAAAGCACTTCGAATGAAGCAACATCTGGGGTCCACACGGCAGAAAGTTACATCTCATGCCCAGTTTGCTCGTGCTGACCCTGAAGATGGAAGGGCAGTCACCTCTTTGATTAATATTACCCAGCAACTTGCACAACAATTAGCTGATGTCCAGCGACAGTTAGCCATGCTTACGGCCAGCCAGTCGAAGACCAGCTCTATTCCCAAGACTCTCTCCCACAGCAAGTCACAAACCAGAGCCACTAAGCAGCAGTCTCATCGACCCACAAATGCTCCGCCCAAACCGGGTTATTGCTTTCGGTGTGGTGAGGATGGCCATATCCGTCCCCAGTGTGAGAATGAGCCCAATCCTACTCTGGTTGCTCGTAAAAAGAAACAGTTTACCAGCAACCAACAGAATACCTCTAACATTGTTCATTTAAACTGAGTCCGGTTCCTGTTGTGGGACAGACAGGGGCCAGCGGGGACCAAATTCGTCCCACGAAAGAAAAGAAGACTGTCCATTGTGCAGAAATGTCACGGTCCAAAATAAAGAATGCACCTATACAATTTCCAAAAGGGCTGGTGGGTTCAAAGTGTTTTGCTGTTATCCAGATTGCTGGACAGAATTATCACTGTCTTTTAGATACCGGCTCGCAGGTTACCACGATTCCAGTCTCTTTCTATAACGAGAGTCTCAGTAATTGCCCTGTGAAGCCACTTTATAATTTACTCCAGGTTGAGGGTGCCGCCGGGCAGGCAGTGCCATACCTGGGTTATGTAGAAGTGAATATAGCTTTTCCCAAAGAGTTTTTGGGAGAAGAAATTGATGTACCGACTCTTGCTCTTGTTGTACCCGATGCACATTCTGGGGGTTCTTCACCTGTGCTTATCGGTATGAATACTTTAGAGCCTTTATATGAACGATATATTAGTAGTGACACCTCTGGTTTTCAACTCACGGCCCAAGGATACTGTGCAGTCTTAAAGCTTCTGCAACTGAAGCATCAACAGAACCAGGTGGGCCGAACAGGAGTTGTGAGGTTATTGAGCCAGACGCCAGTTTTGATTCCTGCTGGTCAGACCATTGTCCTAGAAGGTTCTGCTAGAGTGGACGGCTCATTTGTAGTCCAATGGGCTGTAATTGAACATCCTACATCACCACTTCCTGGTGGGCTGTGTGTCCAGAGCTGTCTCATTACACTTCCAATTCACGCTCCCTACAAGGTTCCTGTTCTTGTTATGAATGAGTCTGAGCAAGATGCTTTTATTCCACCAATGACAGTAATTGCTGATATTGGCACATCACTTACCATCCTGGCCCAGCACACCGTAAAAACTTCTTCAGTTCCAGGAGGTTCCCAGAGAGATACTTTGGAGTTGAATTTCGGAGAATCTCCTATTCCACCTGAATGGAAGGAGCGAGTAACATTTAAGCTCAGTCAAATGCCTGAAGTGTTTTCTCATCATGATCTTGATTTCGGTTGTACAGACCAGGTAAAGCATCATATCAAGCTCCATGATGAAACCCCTTTTAAGCAACGAGCTAGGCCAATCCATCCTCGTGATATTGAAGCTGTTCGAAGCCATTTGCGAGACCTGCTCGAAGCTGGCATCATTCGAGAGTCCGAGTCACCCTTTGCTTCTCCAATTGTGGTGGTCCGGAAGCGGAATGGTGATGTAAGGTTGTGCATTGATTATCGTAAATTAAATTTGCAAACAGTGAAAGATGCCTATGCCTTGCCAAATCTTGAGGAGTCATTCTCTGCATTAACGGGTTCCAAATGGTTTACGGTTCTGGATCTGAAGTCTGGATATTATCAGATTCAAATGGATGAAGTTGACAAGGCTAAAACTGCATTTGTTACACCGCTAGGGTTCTGGGAATGGAATCGGATGCCACAAGGGGTCACTAATGCTCCAAGTACATTCCAGAGACTGATGGAAAGGTGTATGGGGGATTTAAACCTCAAGGAAGTCCTTGTGTTTCTAGATGACATCATTATCTTCTCTGACACTTTGGAGGAACATGAGAAGCGCTTACTCAGAGTACTTACCCGCTTAACTGAGTTCGGCCTGAAGTTGTCTCCTGAAAAATGTAAATTTTTCCAGTCCAGTGTGCGTTATCTTGGACATATTGTGTCCGAGAAGGGTGTTGAAACTGACCCAGAGAAAATATCTACTCTTAAATCCTGGCCAGTACCCCGAAATCTTAAGGAACTACGGTCTTTCCTGGGGTTTGCAGGATACTATCGGCGGTTCATTAAGGATTACGCCATCATAGTGAAGTCCCTTAACGCTCTTACTCAAGGCTATGCATCCTTCCGTCGGTCTACCAAAGATAAAAGTTCTGCTGGGAAGTTCCTGGACCCGAAGCAGTCCTTTGGGGAGAGATGGACGTCCGACTGTCAAGTTGCTTTTGATACAGTAATTTCCAAGTTAACATCTGCTCCTGTCCTTGGGTTTGCCAATCCAAAATTGCCTTACATTCTGCACACAGATGCTAGTGGTTGCCAGATTGCTTAAAATAAGCAAAACACTGGGCAGAAAATGTATGCTTGTAACAGCGAAGCTCTGATTCGTGGATTTGAACTATTGATATCTGGCAACCGCACTCATGAAAGCTCACATAGTAGAGACGTGTAGAGCAGTCCGGAGTACGCAATAACATGTTGTCTCCTTTTTAGGACGCTCGGCACGTTCTTTTGGGAAACTATGCTTGAAACTATTCGATATTCACGCTATTTTCAAATTTTACATCATCGTCAAAATTACTGCAATATTATCGCTAATATTCGATATATCGCCCAGCCCTAGATCGCAATAACGTTTGCCCTTCACCTCCACATTTGACAAATTACCTCAGAGTTTTCCAGCAATAGATTTTTTTTCCCCAACAAAATAATAATCAAGTAAAGAAAAGCATAGAGCATGAAGCAATTGTGTTGAGAAACAGCTCAATAGCAATACTGGAAATAACACAACGTGCTGAGGACTGGTGGCTGTGCAATGCAATCCGGCAATGTGAGTTTCTATAGAGTCTGCTGGAATGAAATTAATGGAAAAATTATTTCATCCTCCTGCCCGTAACCCAGAACGACCAAAGCTCATCTGTATGTTGAAAGAGTGAAGCGAGCTAATTAATGATTTCACCTCACGGGAGAAAAATGAGAGAGAATTCAGTAGTCCATCAGAACTGCCAAGGTCTTCACACTGACTCATTCAAAGGCTAAAGGATATTTGGAGTGCTGAAGGAGTGTTATTAATACAATATCAGGAATACAGATTCACAGCTTTTCAGTTGTTATAGTTAAAACTTAAATTCAAAGTAAAATATAAGAAAATAAAGACAAGATGAAATACATCTGCAACCCACAATAAAACTAAACTGAACATACCCATGTACATTAGTATTATTTTTATAGCAGCTGTTTTGCCAGTTCCCATGTTTTGGGGTCTTCAAATCTTGAATATAGCATCAGTACAAGGCTTAATGATATGATGTTCATTTTCTGTCCATATTGATTTATTCAAAAATATATTAAACATGTAAAAGAAAATGTAAACAGAAAAAATCATGCATGCAATGATTAAACCTGTTCTACGATGAATATCTTGTTCTGAATTAAAAAAAAATAATTGTGATAATTTTGGGACAAAGTCAAAACTGTCAGGGTGATACAACTGTCTTGATACCATAATGAAAAAAAGACTCATTAAAGAGATGAAAAACTTTACGACAATCATTTATTATTATTTTATTCATATTATTGTTATCTTAGCAAATAATGTATTGAAGCGGTTTTGTTAAAATATAATACAAACTTGTCTTTTTTTTATCTTGGATAGTTTTATATGTCGTTGACTTATTAAATAAAGCCAAAATACCTATTTGGCATTAACCAAATATAAGCTGAAAAGAAAAGTCATCTTAGAGGAAAAAGCTTGTTTTTTATTTGGAAGAAATAATGTGCACTGGTGAACTGTGCACAATAAGACCAGGTACAAGCAATAGAAAGCTAACAGGGCCAAACAGTGACTTCCTGTTGACTTTAAAATTGCTTAAATTGGTTACTCAAGTGTCCTAGAATTTTCCATTTTCCATTTTTGCACAGTGTCCATAATTGACAGAAGGAAGAGAAAGTAAAAAAATCTAACCCAAAAAGGAACATGAGGTTGTTTTGTGCTCCTTGGAGGGTAAACTACTGTCAAACCCGACAGAATGTATTCACGGATCAGAACCAAAACAGAGCACGCTGTGTCAGAATCTCATCATTCCTGCGCTACTGCCAGCCAGTCACGGCCGAAGCATGAGAGATCAGACACCTAAACTGAAAAAGACGCAGGTGTCCAAAGGCACGGCAATTTGGAGTGAGCTACAAGCAGACCGGTCGAGCTGCCAGAGAGGAAGGAAGAGTCAGCGAGCCTGGCTGAGCACTGAAGGATGCTGGGACGCTTGAGAGGTGATTGTACATAGAGTAAATCTAGCCTGTAGACAAGAGAATCATGCAGAGAGAAAGAGAGAGAGCGCTTGATGCTTACCCTTGTGGTTGATGGACCATATGCACTGCTTGCTCTGAACGTCCCACATCCTGACAGTCTCGTCATTGGAGCCGGACAGCAGGAGGGTCCCGTCCATGGACACAGACAGACATGTCACCAGATTTCTGTCCAGGAGGAGAGAGACTGTTATAGTGGAGAGTGCCGGTTCAGATATATATATACAGGTTTATCTGCTCTACAAACTAACAAGTCTGCCTACATAATACTGTATATTGTGTATTAAAAAATAATCAATAAAATCATGGTGTGGGAGTTAGCAGACATGTTGTGCTCATGTGGGAGAAGCAGGTTTCTTTCTTCAGAAATCATTCAAACATGCTGATTTGCTCAAGAAGAGTTATGTATATATTTTTTAAATAATATTTTTGTGGAAAGCGCAATATTTTTTCAAGATTCTTTGAAAAAATAAAAAGTTCAAAAGAACAACATTTATTTGAAATAATCTTGTGTAAAATAAATGTCTTTACTGTCTTTGTTAATGTAAACCTGCTAAATAAAATTATTTTATTAATTAATATAATATATGAATGCAATATTTCTATTCATATACATACCTAAATATATAAATGTGTATATGTGTGTGTACACTAGGGCTGTCAAAATGGCTGAAAAACGAAATTCGAATTTTGTACTTAAATATTATCAAAATTAGAATTATATTCGGATTTAAAATGCATAATTTCAGTTAGGGTGAAGAAAAGCTTTTGGCTTCTCTTCTGAGGCCACAAGAGGGCGCATCTAGCAAAATATTACTAAGAACAGGATGGTCAACGGCGGGTTATTGCCTATGCCAGCCGAGGCCTATCTCAGAGTGAGTCTCGATACCCGGCACACAAGCTTGAGTTTCTGGCCTTAAAATGGAGTGTTACAGAGAAATTCCATGATTATCTCTATGGTGCTAATTTTACTGTTGTTACGGATAACAATCCTCTTACATACGTTTTGACCTCAGCAAAACTGGATGCCACCAGCCATCGGTGGCTAGCCGCATTGTCAACATATTCCTTCAAGATGCAGTACCGTGCTGGCAAACATAATCTTGATGCCGATGCTTTGTCCCGGCGCTGTCATGGAGAAGTGCTAGATAAGACTACAAGCTGTGAGGAGTGGAAATGTGTGAACCGTCTAGTGGAGCAATTATGTGACCCGGGTGAAGTTGCAGAAATATCCCCCGATAGTGTGGTTGCTATTTGTCAGGGCAGTCTTGTCAGATCGTGCTGTTCTGTTGACTACCCTCAAATTGATGTGACCCTAGTTGAGTCACTTTCTGTCCATGTTAATAGCATTCCTGACAGTTTCGTCACGGAGGAGTTACATCGCCTTCCTGTCATTTCTCCTCTGAGTCACGCCGACCTGAGAGAAGAGCAGCGTGCTGACCCAGTAATCCGTGAAGTTATCCACCAGCTCGGGACAGGAGAAAAGGTTCCCCCAACTGCTCGAGAGGAACTTCCTGAGCTTGCTTTGTTGTTACGGGAGTGGAATCGGTTAGAACTGGAAGATGGAATTTTGTATAGGAGAAGACAGGACGAAGATAAACTTGTCAACTATAAACAAAACAGCATCACGTATGTATGCATAGTTTAATACAAAAGATGGAAAGCCAATCACACAGAGTACATTTTTCATTTAAAAACACGATAATCCGTGAAGTTATCCACCAGCTCGGGACAGGAGAAAAGGTTCCCCCAACTGCTCGAGAGGAACTTCCTGAGCTTGCTTTGTTGTTACGGGAGTGGAATCGGTTAGAACTGGAAGATGGAATTTTGTATAGGAGAAGACAGGACGAAGATAAACTTGTTCTTCAGCTTGTCTTGCCCCCAGTTTTGCGTCCTATTGTCTTGAAGAGTCTCCATAGTGACATGGGGCATATGGGCATAGAGCGAACCTTGGATTTGGTACGGCAGCGGTTCTTTTGGCCTAAGATGGCAGCTAACGTTGAGAACTTCATTAAAACCTGTGGTCGGTGTGTAAGACGTAAGACTCTTCCAGAAAAGGCAGCTCCTCTAGTAAATATTCAAACTAGTCGTCCTTTGGAATTGCTATGTATGGATTTTCTTACACTTGAGCCGGACAGCAGCAACACAAAGAATATCTTGGTGCTTACTGATCATTTCACCAAGTTTGCCGTCGCTATTCCAACTGCGAATCAGAAGGCCAAGACTGTGGCGAAGTGTCTGTGGAATGACTTTATGGGTTGCTATGGTATTCCAGAGCGCCTACATTCAGACCAAGGCCCAGACTTTGAATCTAAGCTGATTAAGGAGTTCTGTGATGTAGCTGGCATCAAGAAAACTCGGACTACCCCATACCATCCCAGGGGTAATCCTGTTGAGCGCTTCAACCGGACGTTGTTAAACATGCTGGGAACCCTTGAGAGCAAGCAAAAGGCCAAGTGGAGGGAATACGTTAAACCTCTTGTTCATGCGTATAATTGTACACGGAATGAGGTAACGGGGTTTACGCCCTATGAACTCCTGTTTGGACGATCACCTCGACTTCCAGTTGATTTGGCTTTTGGCTTGCCTGTTCGTGAATCTCCATCATCTTCACATTCCCAGTATGTGAAGGATTTAAGATCTCGTCTTGAGGAGAGCTATAAGCTCTCATCCCAGAATGCTCAGAAGTCAGCTAAAAGGAACAAAAGTCGGTTTGATCAACGTGTAAAAGAGTTATTGCAGTTCAGTGGCAATTATGGATGTGTTTTTGAAATGTGGTATTAAATTACCCAATGCTGTGCTGGTGGAGGGCATAACTGAACTGGGAGGCAATGAAGTTATTGAGTTTTTAGACCAATATGGTTTAATTAGTAAGACTGAGACTATCTCTGAAAAAGAATCTGAGTTTAATGGTATGTTTGTTGTTGAATTTGCTAGTGGTACCGCTTTGGACGTGCTGCGTCCCACTTTACCTTATACGTTTGTCTCTGCTAAAAAGACATATACATGTTGCATTTTAGAGTTATCCACTGTGTGTACCGAGCATTTTGCTAAAGCTAATACTATGTCATATTTGTCTGATTTGCAGAATTTAGCTAAATTAACTGGGGTAGATTACAAAGAAGTGCTTAAAACAACGATGACTCAGATTGGACTTTCGGTACCTGAGCTCCATTCTGTGACTTCTGTGAAAGAGCTACCTATCACAGAGGCAGCCGTACCGTCAGAGCTATCTGTGAAGAAATTAATTCAGTCTCCATCAACCACTGAGCCCCATAATGATCCATCTGATTCCATGCGGCCGGAGTTCAGGCAGTCAACTTCTAGTGTTGACGTCCATCCACCTGAGGTCCAGCGTTATGTAGTGGAGCACATTGTAAAGAATGAGGAGAATGCAGTACATCACCAACGGCTCAGGGTATTCTCAGGTCGGCTTCCCAGACCTGTGCATGAGGCTGACTATGACACTTGGCGGTCAGGGGTGGAACTGCTGTTGAAGGATCCATCTGTGTCTGATCTCCATCGTTCTAGGAGGATAGTTGAGAGCCTCTTTCCCCCAGCAGCAGATATGGTCAAGCAATTGAGTTCCAGCACGTTGCCTGCTGTGTATTTAAGCACTCTTGATTCGGCCTATGCCACTGTGCAAGATGGGGATGAATTATTTGCTAAATTTATGGACACATTTCAGGACAGCGGTGAGAAATCATCTGCTTACCTTCAACGGCTTCAGGTTGTCCTGAACTCTGCCCTGAAAAGAGGAGGGGTTATAGAGTCTGAAGTTAATCGACATTTGTTGAATCAGTTCTGTCGTGGGTGCTGGGATAATTCCCTAATTGCTGAAGCGGGTGGGTCTCTGTCTTGATCGGGGGGGGAAAGAGGGAGAAAACCGAAGATGACACAGATATATAGTTTATGTTCGACCTGGAAGTATTTATTGAGCGATCGGCGCTAAAACGTCATCTGTACGGAACATCATTGAGTACGGAACATGGTTAGTCTACGTTACCCGAAAAATTCCCATACGACAGACTTCAGCTAAAAGGAACAAAAGTCGGTTTGATCAACGTGTAAAACCTGCAAGCTTGGAGGCTGGCGACAGAGTCCTTGTCCGGAATGTTAGAATCCGAGGCAAACACAAGCTTGAAGACAAGTGGGAGCGAGATGTATATGTGGTTGTGAACCGTGTTGGGGATCTTCCAGTTTACATTGTGAAGCTAGAGACCGAAAAGGGACCTATCCGTACGCTCCATCGTGATCTGCTCTTGCCTTGTGGCTTTTTGTCGGCTTGTACTACAGAGGACCCTCCCGAAGATCTTCCTGCTCCAAAACCACACACTCGCAGCCAGAGTCGCAACCATGTTGCTGACCTAGTTGATACTTTTGAGGATGAGGATGCAGTGGATGCCATCCTTGGGAGTTCTCCTCGATTCCCAATGAAGTTCAGTGTGGAAAGAGTGGGTGAACAAGAACCCTTGACCCCTGAAATTGTGGGGTCTACCTCAACGACTGCTTTAAGTTACACTGATTTTGTTCCACCTTCCTCGCAAAGCCTGGTTACCCGACCTTCCATTGCAATATCTCGCTACGCTCTTTGCTGCACACAACTGAGGGAGTCCTGCACTTTCCTTCTTTGACGACACGTAAAAAAACTGCGCATACCACAGGAATGTTATAACGGAGAATTTCAGTGGTTTTGAAACCGTGACTTTTCCCAAACCGCGGTATACCTTGAAACCGGTTATCGTCCCATGCCTAAGTGGGATGGGGAAAAAAACTCGCCATAAAGTCTCGAGACATGTTTTTTCAAAGTTAAACTTGCATTAATTTTACATGGCATTCTAAACATGCGGCTCCTTTGTGCGAAATGCGAGTGCAACGGTGATAGATGTCCCTCTAGAAAATGTGCAAAATATGTGTTCTGTGTGAACGGCTTGGTTTCAGTTTTGATGTAAACAAGATCTTCTCCGCATTGATGATTTCTTTTTCCGCAATATTTTTAATGAACGCAGCAGCGCCCCGCATCTAGTGGCTTCAACTGGATAGGCTAACAACAACATTATAATGCAACGACACTTACATCGTCATCACATCTCGTGCGGTGCGCCACTGATAAGGCTGCCTCCTTAATGCACACCTAAAATTCGAATGCAACGTTTTTGCATTCGAATGTCCCCTGAAATTGTGGGGTCTACCTCAACGACTGCTTTAAGTGACACTGATTTTGTTCCACCTTCCTCGCAAAGCCTGGTTACCCGACCTTCCATTGCAATATCTGAGAACCATTTACCTGAAGTTGAAGAGTCTAGGTCAATTAGTGGTGAAGGTTCATCGATGTCCAGTTGTGATGTAGACATTCTGGTAAGAGAAATTGTGGTGGAAGAACCTGGAAATTCCTTACTTGAACCGATGAATGAATATGTTAAGAGAGAGATGGAGTTACCTGTGGAAGAGATACTTATTGATGTGCCTGAAGTTGAAGTGATTCTGGAGCTTGAGGCTGAAGATCATGGGGCGGTCCAATCTGAGTCATCTGTGGGTTCTGATGTTCAGAGTCCTGTTACTACTCTTAATGATATAGTGAGATCTGATGTAGCACCTAGACGTTCAGGTCGGCAACGTCAGCCCCTTCAACGCTTTCAATATACAACTTTGGGTAACCCCTTAATCTCAGTTGTTCAAACTCTTTTTCATAGTTTGTCTAATGCTTATACAGAGGCTCTTAGTTACGCGGCTGCAGCAGACACTTTTCCCAACCTGTAATACTTTTGTAGTTACTATGCAACGGGGACGTGCATGATTTAACGGGGGGAGGATGTAACCCTGGTTTTCCTGCTTTTACTTTCTCTTCTCACGACTCCCTACTGTTCACGCTATCGCGAGATTGATGCTTCCCAAAGAGTTTTTGGGAGAAGAAATTGATGTACCGACTCTTGCTCTTGTTGTACCCGATGCACATTCTGGGGGTTCTTCACCTGTGCTTATCGGTATGAATACTTTAGAGCCTTTATATGAACGATATATTAGTAGTGACACCTCTGGTTTTCAACTCACGGCCCAAGGATACTGTGCAGTCTTAAAGCTTCTGCAACTGAAGCATCAACAGAACCAGGTGGGCCGAACAGGAGTTGTGAGGTTATTGAGCCAGACGCCAGTTTTGATTCCTGCTGGTCAGACCATTGTCCTAGAAGGTTCTGCTAGAGTGGACGGCTCATTTGTAGTCCAATGGGCTGTAATTGAACATCCTACATCACCACTTCCTGGTGGGCTGTGTGTCCAGAGCTGTCTCATTACACTTCCAATTCACGCTCCCTACAAGGTTCCTGTTCTTGTTATGAATGAGTCTGAGCAACATTAAGGATTACGCCATCATAGTGAAGTCCCTTAACGCTCTTACTCAAGGCTATGCATCCTTCCGTCGGTCTACCAAAGATAAAAGTTCTGCTGGGAAGTTCCTGGACCCGAAGCAGTCCTTTGGGGAGAGATGGACGTCCGACTGTCAAGTTGCTTTTGATACAGTAATTTCCAAGTTAACATCTGCTCCTGTCCTTGGGTTTGCCAATCCAAAATTGCCTTACATTCTGCACACAGATGCTAGCATAATCGGATTGGGAGCCGTTCTATACCAAGAACAGGATGGTCAACGGCGGGTAACCCCCGCCATAAAGTCTCGATATATGTTTTTTTAAAAGCTAAACCTACATTAATTTTACATGGCTTTCTAAACATGCGGCTCCTTTGTGCGAAATGCGAGTGCAACGGTGATAGATGTCCCTCTAGAAAATGTGCAAAATATGTGTTCTGTGTGAACGGCTTGGTTTCAGTTTTGATGTAAACAAGATCTTCTCCGCATTGATGTTCTCTTTTCCCGCAATATTTGTAATTAACAACGCAGCAGCGCCGCATCTAGTGGCTTCAACTGGATAGGCTAACAACAACATTATAATGCAACGACACTTACATCGTCATCACATCTCGTGCGGTGCGCCACTGATAAGGCTGCCTCCTTAACGCACACCTAAAATTCGAATGCAACGTTTTTGCATTCGAATGTGGAGTTTTATTTTAAATTCGACGAATATTCGAAATTTGAATATTTTTTGACAGCCCTAGTGTACACTATTTTAAATATATATATTATATATTTTCAATATTCTCTAATAAATATAAATCAGTTTTTGTATTTTTATTAATACAATTATTTTCTTCATTAATATAATAAAATATATATTTATTCAAAGAAATATATACATAAACATTCTATTTATAAAATATCTGATATTTTTTCAAGATTCACTGATAAATAGAAAGTAAAAAAAATTATTTATATGAATGAGTTATTTATATATGATTTATTAGAAATTTTTGTAAAACAATTGTATTTTATATATAATTATGTCTATCCAGGCATCTTTATATATATATATATATATATATACACACACACATACACACACACAGAGTGTTCCCCGAATGGATTGATATAATTATTTGTCTTTTTATATACTTCATATAATTAAATAACCCACAAAACATAATTTAATATAGAGTACACAGACTAAGTCAAAGCCACATTAAATTCTCAAGCCACATTAAGTTGTCATAAAAATGAACATGTGTTTGTTACAGTACGATGCCAAAATGACAGCCTTTCTGCCACCAGCATCGGCCAATTCTGCGTTTCTCGCTGTGTGTAACCTGAAAACACCACCGCAAATGGAGGCTGTGATTACACCTTCTGCCTGCACCGCTTCACAGGCGGAGCTTTTGCACAAAGCACAGAAAGAAGGAGTTTAATCCAAAATGAGTTCGCTCCAGAGCTGAAGCCAGAGACTTTCACCTTTCTTCCTTTCTCTGTCTGAACTTTGGGCTCCGGCAAAAAAACGCACATCTTTTCCTGAAGTAATAACCGAGGACAGACACATGGGTCACAAAAAAAGCGCAGACAACCTCACCTGTGTCCTTTGAACACCTGATTGCCGTCGCTGTCTGTCTGGAAGGTTTTATCCCGGCTTAAACTCTGCCAAGCAGGAAAGAAAGAGAGAAAAAGAGCAAAGGAGAAACATTTATAACAATGTGGAGAAAACGATCCAAATGCTAACATGGGTCAACAATAACGACAGCCTGCTGGCTTGGGGTCAGTGTGACAGTTTGGGGTCTCGCTGCATCTTACACTCGTTGATCATGTACATGTTTTTATGCCAACTAGGGCAGCTGAAAAAAATCCTTACAGTTGATCACCGGCTAGAAATTAGCTTACAGTCCTGGTACACACAGACAATCACGCTCCATCCCGCAGCCTCCATTAGGTACCATGGGATTTAGCCCCGACTGTCTCCTAAACGGTCTGATCGATTGACTTAATGGCATTAATTAAGGAAGAGGCCGTAGGAGAAGTATGGTGGCCTGGACTGGACCACTGCTGACTCAAATCATTACATCACCTCTTTAAAGCCTGGCAATAAGGAGCATCAATAATACATGACAGGAAGAGTTAAAGCCAGCAGGAGATCTCCAGCCATTCTGGAAGGAAACGCATGTCTTTCATATTCAGATTTGCACATTAATACGGACAGACATCGCACTGGTCCGGAAATAAAATCCATGTGATCAGGAGAGGGAGATAGTTTTGAGAGACCTTGTTATAATTCAAACAATAGAGCTGTTCAGTTTGTAGTCGTGAAACCCAGGAAAGAATTGGCCATTTCCAGCTATGAGTTCCTTCTGGAATATCTAATGGGGTTTTAGAATAGCACTTTCCGATTTGCGATTAAAGGGAGGAATGTGGTTAAAATGACTTGAAGAGACTGTGTTCAACAAAGCCAGTTAAACATGGTAGACAAACGCTGTACCAAAATCTATGTGAGACCACTGTGTGCATTAAAGCATAATAAAGAGCTGCTACAGCTACCACAAGGAAGGCATGTGCATGAGAATCGTTGTCTCTTCTGCTCACCAAGACTGTATTTATTTAAACAAAAATACAGTTAAAACAGTAATATTGTGAAAAATGATTGCAATTTAAAATGTGTTTTCTATTTTAATGTATTTTAAAATCTAATTTATTCCTTTGATGCAAAGCTGAATTTTCTTCAGTGTCACATGATCCTTCAGAAATCATTCTAATATGCTGATATGCTGCTCAATTATTATTTACAATTACAATTATCGCGTTTGCGATCACGGGAACTTAAAGACACTTGTACAAACACGGATGGGTGACGGTGATGTAGTATTTGGTTTCCCAACAAGGCCCATCGCCCAACACAAAATTAATTTGCTGTATGCATAAACTGTATTTTCCTGCGCTCAAACCTGCCAATCTAAAGGAAACGCTGTGTATGGCGTTTGAGGTAATTTGTGAATTACCATAGACTTAAGCCTCGTACACACCGGGACGATTATCGCGCGGTTTTAACGTGGCGCGTCAAACCAAAAAAACGAGCCCGAGGCGTTTGTTTATAAAATTATGCTTTTACACCTCGCGTTTTGCGCGTCGGTGTGCACACTCACATTGGCGCCCTTTGTTTAGTCACGAGGCGTTAAACGTCGGCGATAATCGCGCGTGATATTTGTCCCGGTGTGAACAAGCCTATATAGTCTAAATAAAACAATTTGCAACTATTACGGTTAGGTTACATTTGTATACAAAACTTCGTACAAAACATGCTTGTTATAGAGTGCGTGACGTGACGTCACGTGCACTATTGCCGGTGGCAGTAGACAACCGCGGTGGTGATGCGGTTGTCACGGCACCGTCACAGCCCTATTTGTTCCCACGTTTTAATTTAGTATAACATGGCTACAACTTAACTAAAACATTAATAATTTGATATTGAATTGATGATTAGTATTATTATCAATTCAATACTTTTATTTTGTATTTTTAAATAAAATAACAAACAAAATAATAAATAGTGTGATCATACATCATACATATATTTTTAAATAAAAAGTGAGTATTAAACAAAAATGCAATTATTTTATAATACACTTAAAAATACAATGATAATATTTAGATTTTCTTATGAATTTTCATCATTTTCAAACCCAAAATTAGAAAGCTTTTATTCTGTCCGGTTGCTGGCAAGTATTGCGCTGCTGGGTTGCCGAGTGAACAGTGTAAGTGAATGAAAAGTCGTCTTGTGTTTTGCTGTGAAACCGGCAGCACATAACCTAGATTTGTGCTTTCAGTTCGACTGGAAATCTTATATATACAGTTATTCGATCTAAAACGGCGATTCTGCATTAACAGCTGTCAACCATGTCAGTACACAAATGAGCGGTCTGAACTTGTTTACAGTTTGCATTTTTCATTTCGGTCACGCATGCGCACCTGCACGCAACTTATGTGCACACCGTGTGTGTATATATATATATATATATATATATATATATATATAGTTAAATTTAAAGTTAAATTAAGTTAAACCTCTACGTTAAAGTGTTTGTATAGAACAGGGCTGTTCAGAACTAGGGTTTTTAAGTTAAACAGATGTCTTTGTGAGTCAGAAAGCCTTGACAGGATTAGATTTTTTTTAAACTTCAGCAGTAACACACTTCTCCGCTCTGTATTCTTCTCTTTGCGTCTTTTTATTTTCCCTTTCTGTCTTTCGTCTTCAAGCAGGCAGGGAGTTGTAAGCTTTCCTGTCAGAAAGTCTTTTTCTATCTAAATATGACAAATTCAACCCTCGTTCATCACTGACAAGACAATCCGAACAACAAGGGGAAAGAAACAGAGCTGAGGAAGTACTTTCAACAGGGTGAAGAGGTCAATGAAACTGCTGTACTGAGAAGAGAAGCTTAACAGAAGCGTGTAAGGTCACAACTGCATAATAAACAATCATTTTCGACATGAAATCTAATCACTGAACACCATAAAGGCCCATCATCTAGTCCCGAGAGGAGGATTTTTTTTGTTTTCCACAAATTTTACTGGCAAGTTATTGTATATTGTTCAAAGGGAAACTTCTGAACCAATCAGAATGCAAAGATCGAGGCCGATGTTTTGGAAAGAATTCAGGACGCCACGTTCCAAGCCTCCTCACATTTCTTATATCCCACCAATTAATCTTACTGTGAAATCAACTTTAAGACAGTAGACCGAAAGTGTTAAGTGTAAAAACCAGCCTTAGTAGTCAAAGAGATATGAGTCTATCAATGAATAGCCTTTGAACATCTTGAAAGGTTTTAGAAACATGAAAAAATAAATAAATCAGGAAACCCTGTAGACTAATAAGGCTGGCTGAGATTCCAGACACGAGGAGCAGAATGAAAAACCGAGAGGCTGAGAAAAAGCACATCAATACCAGCTAATTAATGCCCTGATTAATGTTTAAGAATGATGATGAATGCATCTGGACAGATTGGGAATGAACCGCACACAGTTTCACCTCAGTTTAAAAGCGTTTAGATACAGGAACACATGCTGTCTCTCTCTCACATACACTGAATTAAAAAACGTATTCAGACAAACAAAAAGAAGAAAGAAATCTTCAATCGTAAAACACTGCCTCAAGAAGAAACATGTTTATTCATAAAAAATTCTGCCTCTAGCATCTCCTGTTAGGTTTGCAGTTTCTCAATATGAGCTTAGGAATACTTTATGATATGGTGAGAGCTATAAGACAAATCGTATTAAGTGCTGACCAGAAAATACTGGTTCTTCCAAACGTTTCTTCTTTCTTTTATCATTTAAGGGAGTTTTTCAACAATTATGGATCAGAAAGCCATTTCAGACAGCCTGCTCTTTCAAGCTTCAATGATACTGGCCTTCATTAATAACAGGCTACTAAGACGCCATTAAAATCATTATAATAGGCCTATACCATTTTTATGTTGTTTCTACATTGATTCGGAGATTCAATGTGAAATCATGACAGTATAAATATTAATATGCGATTAATCGCGATTAATTACAGAAAAATGTTAATAATTATTTCATTTTTTCCCCAAATGACAGCACTAATGAAAATATATTTAAAAACTTAATAACTGTGGAAATGCAATGCAAATGCAAAAACTGTGGCCGATATGACATATTTAATTGTGCATGCTAATTTCTGTTTAGCTTAGTAATTCTCAAAATGAATATCCATTTTTCACGCAGTACACTTTTTTTAGACAAAATAGTATAGAATTTAAATAGCGGTCATTTATCAGTTATCGGCCATAACAAGAAAATAATTATCAGCTTACTGGTATTGCCAAGTATTGGAATTTTAATAATTCTGAAAAATAATTGATGCATCCCTACTAGGGTTGTGCCGATAGACGATAGTATCATGTATCGAGGATAGTCAGAGATATCGACAATAGCAGATGTCTTTGTCGATAGTCAACCCATGATAACTTACATAACATGAAAGAAAGCAGCATGAAGTAGGGGTAGGCGATATGGCCAAAATCTTATATCACGATACGAGTAATTTTATTTCACGGTAATGAGATATAATCACAATATAGTTATTTTTGCTTTAAATAAGGTCTTTATGATATCAACATTTTTGATACCATAGAGATTTCATATTTCTTGTCAGTGTCAATATCACAATAAAGCATACTAGCCTTAAAAAAAAAAAAACTTAAGCTTACTGAACGCAAGTAAACAGTCAGTGATTAAATAAGAACAACAAACTAATTACAAGCAATAGGACAAAAAAACTACAGTAGAACAAATAAATAAGAAAGGCTACATTGTATAAAGTAATCAAATGTATAAAAACACTGCATATTCTTTATTCTTCACTGTGTAAATTAAATATATTTCTTCTTATTAAAGTTACAAAAGTGATTTAGTCAAGAGCAGTGAGAAATTTTCTCTCTTTTGTTATTTGATTAACATGAACGACAGACAGCAGGAATATTAGACTCAGACTGCTGTCACTTTACGAGCTGCCCAGATCCAATATACTGTTACACATGTTTTTTTTTCTCAGCAGTTTGCTTTCACTTAAGACCTAAATTACCATATTGGCCCGAATATAAGACGACCCTGATTATAAGACGACGCCCCTTTTTCCAGATGTACCTTTTGGAAAAAGGCTTTTTAAAAACCAAATCTTGTTTTTTCTCAGTAAAACACATTTTGTCTTCAATTATTTTCATATTGCATATTTTTCCTATTTTAATTTTTGTTTTGAAAGTATGGTAAAAACTGGTAAAATGTACCAACAATCACATTTATTACGAGGATACTTGCAAAGACAAGGCATTTTGACAAATACAAGTTTGTGTATTTAAACTATGAGCACCTCTAAGGCAGCGCACGCATATAACGAAATGAGTCCTCTTTCACTGCTGATTGTGTTTCAACTAGGGGTGTGCGATATATATCGTCTGCGATAATATCGTAATTGTTGTTTTAACGATGTGCGATTTGACATTATCGAGTATTTTAACACACCTACAGAGTGCACGCATACATTACATGAAGTCTAGACTAGTGCGTGTGCGCATTTAGTGTGTTCTTTCAATGCATGATTCAGTCTATTAAATATATATTTAGAGGCAGAAAATGTATACATTATACCACTTAATATACTTAATCAATTTCACATGAAGAGTGCTGTTATTTCTCCAAAAATTACCATGATTACAAATGTGATATAGATTTTTTACAACAGTTTAATAAACAAGAAGTTAATTAAGAGACTTACATTTTAGACAAAATATTTCCTGTTTTTGCACTATTTCGACAACAAAAATAATTCCAAACACAGCCACAATGCAGTTTTGCGTCTCTGAGCAACATGACAGTGATTTGTTCCTGAATGAATCAACCGTTTAAATGATTCGGTTCAATCGCAATGACTCACTTATTAACAATGACTTGCTGCCACCTACTGGCGGTTTTAATTTCACATTTAAAGTATCTATTCAACGTTTTATGATTAATACATCAAAACATTATTTATGCATTTGTAATTGCAGGTTAAATGCATTCATGTCCTGCATTAAACAGTGAGTAAATACATCTAAATGCCACTTCAGATGCAGCTTCTGTGTTTCCTCTGCATTGCAAAGATTAATTTTGTTGATACTGATTTCATTTTCTTGGTACAGCCCCAAATGTCTTATTATTGTAATTCACTGATTAAATGTAAGAATTTGACTTTGAATTTGACTCAAAACATAATGGACACTTTTAGGAAAAAATGGCTTTATAAAGGTTAAAATTGCCCATAAAATGTAAAAATCAATTTAAACTTATTGGAAAAGATTCATTTCTATCTGACCACCACACTGAATATGAAGAATATCAAAAACTTTAGGAGTCAGCTATCCAGTCCACTGCAGTCCTAAAGGCACCAGCACAATAACACACTCAGCAAAATATCGTCTAATAATCGTTATTGATAAAATCCCAGAAAATATCAAGATATTATTTTTTGTCAATATCACACACTCCTAGTTTCAACGGCTTAAAATCACTTGTTTTTAAACTGCAATCCTTAAAAATGTGTGCAAACGATAAGTTTTCGTGACCACTTAGCACAGCAACGTCATGTGAGCGTGTAACAACAATTGGTCAACTGACAAATTTCTTTTTTTCGTGTCTACCGGTATATCGCCCACCCCTAGCATGAACATTCTGCTAAACATCTCCCACAGAAGGTTTGGAACAACATGAGGATGAGTAAATGCATTATCTGAGATCTCCTCAAAATATAATAATTTCCACAAACCACAAAATTCCCAATACCAATGTTCTCCGTAAACAGATGTTTCCGCTGGTTGAGCCTCATATCTTCTCAAAGCCAAAGGTTCCTGCTGGGGAATAACCTACTTCCAATGATCCAGCAAAACTACATGGGCTTTAAGTGAAACTGACAATGGCCATGACACCTGCATACGTTTCATCTGAAATTCCCTTTAAGAGAAGTGTAAAGGTGAAGCGAGGTGAGAATGTGAGGAAACACATTCATTTTTGCCTTCCAGCACTGAGAGTTTTTTCTAAGATGCCCTGACCTGGACTGAACAGACAGCTCACCAGAAAAATAAAAAAAATAACCACTCACTTCAGTTCTCAACAGTGCTGAGGAGACATGTGAAGGATCAGGACAGAGGATCACAAAGATCAGCATATAAACATTTCACAGCAGAAATTGACTAAGTTTACTCTCAGGACTATGTGAAAGAAAAGATCTGATAGAAAATGACTCGACACTATTTATATCTAATCGCTGCCAAGCAGGAGTCCAGTTAAAATGACTGTAATCTTCTCCGTCTAATGCACTGAAGATAAGACAGGATGCGTTATTGCTTATGAAACCACAACAGGCTGCTTGTCCATGAGCTCTTGGCCAATTAAACATCTCATAAGCAACTTCACAATGGTGACAAAAACTCTATTGCAAAGGTCTCATTGGACCTGAATAAATGCCAGTGATCAGGAAATGCCGGCATCTAAAGTGCTTACCGTGCTGCAGAGAGACACCTGAAAAATATTGCCATCACTGCCTCCGCAGAATAGGAAATACTCGCAGGGATCAAAGGTCACTGACATGATGCCGACGTCGAAGAGGACGGACAGGAGCATCTCCCCAGAGGAAACTTCCCAGACCTGTGACATGAGTAGAGAGAAATACAGCTGGTCAATAAAAAAAAAAAAAGGTCCAAGATATCTTTTAATAATCTAGTTTGAAACACATGCCAAGTTCTTAGTTGGTTTCATATGTTTGACCTTTAGACTATTTCAACTAAAGTTTTGATCAAATGGTTTTTAAAAAGTTAAGCGTTTTCAAGTAATAAAATATTCTCCCTATAAGAATACAGAAAATGTATGTATAAATCATAATCTGAAGTTTATTTACGTAACGCAAGTTTACGTTTTCTCTTTTTTAGCTCTGTTGCATTAGATCTTTCAATGATTCAGGTGATTTATACGTTCATCATAGACAGGGTTTCAGCAGGCTTTATGAAGATTTAAGACATTTTAAAACCTTTTTAAGACCAAGCAAAGAAAATTTAAAGAATAAATTAAAGGGAACATAATACGTCAATATGGTCTCTACATGTTAATGTCCTGTATTAGCAAAGTTCAAAGTTTAAAAATACAACTTCCAACAGATCTCAATTATTTTTTAATTAATAATTTTACATTTTAATTGAAATAATATATATAATGCAATATTAAATTTTTTTTCTGTATTTTTGATCAAATAGATACAGCCTTGAAGAGCACAAGAGACTCCATTAAAAAACATTAAAACTCTGATCTCAAACTTTTGAACGGTAGTATATATATATATATATATATATATATATATTAGTGCTGGGCGGTACACCGGTTCATACCGAATACCGGTGTTTATTTTTGTTATGATATGAATTTTTAAAATACCGCAATACCGGTGT